TGGTAAAGATGACAAAAGATTTTGTTGTGTTTTATATATATATATATATATATATATATATATATATATATATATATACATATATAGTAACCAACAGATTGTGTTTTTTCTTCTGTAGAAGAATGTTAAATCCATGCACCTGTGCATTTTTGTTGTTGTTTGTAAGAAGGAAAATGGTTAATATAACTATATCTTCCTTCAGTCATCATAGTGATAGCTCCCAACAGGGATTAGAAAACAGGATCATTACTTTAAGCCCCACTTTATGTAAAGAAATCTTTTCTCTAGGATGTCATCAAAATTAGTAGAACATTAAGGAAAGGTTTATACTATCTCTAAAAGATTAAGGAAAACTTTTAATATTAAAACAACTAAATTTAAACTACAGCATACTGAATTGTTTTCATGCCAGTGCATTCAATGTTTACTGGTTAACATAAAGAAATAGTTCTAATTACGGTAAAAAGAAAAAAAAACTGGTAATAAACTGTGTTAAAATGTAGTTATTCGGCCTGATGCCTAGATAGTGAATAGGTTTTGAGTGTCTGGAGAGGTTTGTCCATTAAGAGTTCCTTTGTTCAGAAGCTTTCAGTGGTTGTTATGTTCAGGCAGATTCACTGAGTGTCTGTTACTCCCACATCTCACCTGCAGTAGATCACCATCAGTATTAGGCAGCTGATTCGATGTTCCCCTGTGGTACTTTCGAGGGACAGTGTGTTTCCTCTGTGTTTCGCTACACCGCATTCTGTTCCTACTGAGACTTAATGGCAACAGACTGTGACAACTTGTATTTTTCAGAGCACACTGTGTCACACTGAAGCACTGACACCAGAGCATGTGGTTTGTGAGACACAAAACAGTCTCCAGTGTGACTAAAGCTGTTCTCATCTTCTTTTTTTCTTCTTCAGGGGATGTCATTGTCTACATTAATGACATCTGTGTGCTCGGCACTACTCACGCTGATGTTGTGAAGCTCTTTCAGTCCGTACCGATTGGTCAGAGTGTTACTCTCGTGCTCTGTCGAGGATATCCGCTGCCCTTTGATCCTGAGGACCCAAACGCCGCAGCAAGCGCCTCACTCACGCCCATCGGGCTGGAGCACCGCCCGCTGGTGGTGAACGGGCGCAGCAGCTATGACCCCTACCTAGAGTATCTGTCACTGAGCTCCCAGCTTCCTCCTCAGGCTCTGGCGCAGGCCGGAGCCTCTCACCCTGGGGACACCCATCTGGATGGCTCGTCGCTGCCACCCACCACGCCCGGCTCGGCATCAGCACACACACCACGTGATGATAACGTGTCCATGGCCTCCTCTGGGACGGCAGGTGTTGCCGGGGCAACAGGACAAGGAGCAGAGCTGCTGACTGTCACGATGGTGAAAGGTGCAGAAGGTTTCGGATTCACAATCGCCGATAGTCCTACTGGTCAGCGCGTTAAACAGGTGATGCGTACCATCTCCTTTTCTTCCTGGACATTTTAACTAGTAGTTATTGAAATATTGTAAGTTTTGCTTTCATTTAACTGAGAAAAAACTAATTGAGAGTTTTTCACAAGCAATTTAAACACAACTAAGCTGTGATTTAAACAGTACTATACTAACTTCTTAATATACATAAAGCAGATCGAAATAACATTTTCTAATTGAATTTTTCAAGAGAGCCATCTGAATAGATTTATAACTGAGATATTATGACTATCTTAAGGGGGAAGCATTAAAAAGGAGAAGACACAATTCCAACCATGATACTCTGATTCTTTGCTTCAAAAAAAGACAAGCAATGGGAAATGAGTTTAGTATTGTTTTGCTGACTTTTATTGTAAATTTTCTTTTTAGGTATGAATGATCACTAGTACAAAAAATAGCACATACTGTATTTACCACAAAGTACTCTCAAATGTAGAAAGACACTTTTTTGTACAATTTGTAGGGTTGTAGTAGGATTTCTTCTACCAAATAACAAAAGCAATTTGCAGCCGTATATAGCTTAATGTCACTCTGGGATGGTTAAAGACGAAGGTTGATTCTGCGTATAGTGGACAGTTTCTACATCAATGTGACCATGTTTTAGATAAAGAGTTAATTTTATCAGGCATTCCAGGGCTTTTAATATAGAGAAACCTCTCTAATTTATTCATACTTGACCCTTTAAATGTAAAAAAGTGTTTCTTTATCATTTTAAAATTACGACTTTTTATAATCCCTTGTAAGGGTATGTTTACCTGTGAAATCCCGCGTTTGTTTTTAATATAATATTTCAAACATTTAATTTGCTTAGTGAAGAGGAATGTATTCAGTTTGCACCTTTTCAGAAGAAACTGGTCCCTCTCCCAGCGTCTCTGCTGCATCTTGTAAAAAAAATTGCTGTTCTGTTCAAATATGCATGTAATTTACCTCTATGAAGATTAGGGGAAATTAATTTATTATTTAGGCTTTTCCCTCTGCCCTGCATATTTTAGATGTTTTCCTGCTCCAACTCTAATATCTCAACAGCTTATCATTGGGATTCACTTTAAGGTGTCGTGTGTTTGAACCAGGTGTGATGAAGCAGGAAAAGATGTGAAACAAGCAGAGCAGAGCTCTGAGAATCAGGACTAATGTAAATTATGTATCTTGTTTTCTGATTGTTTTAGTGAAGTATTTCCAAGAAGTGATGGTGTTGCTGTTTCTGTGTTGTTGCTGTGGTGCAGGTGTTGGAACCAGGCTCACAAGGAGCATCAGGACTGATTGAAGGAGACCTGATTCTGGAGGTGAACCAGCAGCCGGTGGCTGCAGCAGGACATGGACGTGTGGTGGAGATGCTCAAAGAGTGTCCAGTGGGAGCAGAAGCCACACTTCTCATACAGAGAGCAGGAACAGGTTTGAAGATAACATTCATTTCATGTTTTTTCCTTATTTTTGATTTTATAATGGTAAATAATTAAAAGGTCCATCTTTTTTCCATACCCTGGTTCTACTAATGAGTGCATGATCAAAAACATCCTTTCCTTACCTGGCCTTAAAATTGGCTCCAATGCCTCACTAACATATTCGTACCATATTTCTCTAGTTTGTTACATTACAAGCATAAACATACATGTTTTCTATTAGAATTTTATATGATGGCTACGACAAAATAGTGCATAATTAAGAATATTGAAGAAATGCATTTATTTTGAGCTCCTGTAACTCTAATATTACCTATATAAATGCTGTTGCAGGGCTGCAGGGTATTAGGAACACATTCAGGAATGTAGTTGAACGTGTTGTATTTAGCTCAATATGTTGTTCTGCTTTTTCGTTGATTTCAAACCTTGAATGCAAAATTGAATTGTTCAACCTATGATCTACTGCAACAGACTTTATAAGGTATTAGTAAAAATTTGATACTGACAGCAACATATGGTGTGGTTGGTTATCTGTAGCTTTTGATTGGAAGATGGCAGAAGCTGAATGCAGGGCAATACTATAAGAAACATGTTAGAGGTAGTAAAAATACTTGTGATTAGGTTGGTGGTTAAACTTCCTGCAGGGATATTTATTTGGAAAATATTTAAATCAATTTTTCTTCAACATCAAAAATACGCAAAACTTTTTTGCTGGTCAGTCGCCTGAAATTTTATTGAAATACATGTTTTAGTTGTAATATAATGTGAAAAACAAATTCCCAAGGCACTTAACTTGGAACAAAAGTCAATATTGTTGCTATTATTCAAGAAAAATAACCGTAGGCTTTTGGAATCTCATTCTAAACATCCTAGGTACATGTTTTTGTATACGGTATATACTTTTTCTGCAGGAAAAAAAAACTTATATATCACACATAATTATGCAACCAAAATCATAACAGATCCAAATATCCGATAGGAAATTCAGAAGTAGCAGTTGTTAGTAGTTTATAAGCTGTATTAAAATTAAAATAGATTTGGTTGGCTAAATTGGTAAAATATAAGATCCTAGATTTTTGTTGACCCTGTATTTGCTTTTTGCTATTCTTTTCTTTGTGTTTCTCAGAAGAGAAGATGGTACTAGAGAGAAAAGCACCACATTTAATGACAAATCACAATCGGGTGTTTTTTTTTTGGAGATTTCATATGCCAAGAAAACATTAGCAAAATCAGGAAAGAGTCCAGGGCTGAAGCATCCTACCACTAAATGTATGCAGGCTTGTGATGCTCATGCATAGTTTTTCTATTGAATGTCTTGAACCACAGCTGCTGCTTTCTGAGAGAGGAGTCAAGCAGAGGTAACAGTAAGAGCTTGCAGTGGAAAATACAGTTTGATTAGTATCATTTTGACAACCGTTTATTTTTTAACACGCTCAAGTCTCTGAAGCTATTTATTTAGACCTCTAAAGTCTGTAGATGATGTTTTGTTTGTGGATGTTAAATATTTCAGATTACTGTAAAAAGAAAAATGCTTGGCTTCCTAAAAAAAATCTACTTTATGTTTTACACATATAATGGTGTATTATTTAAGAAATGTAAGCCAGTATAAAATAAGTATTCTGTTTGTGCAGAAGAGAAAAATTGTTGTGAGTAAAACAACTTGCAGAGCTGTTGTTGGTCTTCTTCACTATGATTGTGTCAGGAAAGCAGTTTCCGTCCCACAGGATTCTGAGCATCCTCACAGTAACCGATCTGGTTTCCTACAGACTGGAAAAATGTGGAAGTCTCCAAAATTTCATTAAAGTTCCAGTTCCATTTCTCTTTATTTAGCATCCATCCATCCATCCATCCATCCATCCATCCATCCATCCATCCATCCATCCATCCATCCATCCATCCATCCATCCATCCATCCATCCATCCATNATCCATCCATCCATCCATCCATCCATCCATCCATCCATCCATCCATCCATCCATCCATCCATCCATCCATCTGTTCTTTCTGTCTTTCTTTCTTCCCTTCCACCCTTCCTTTCTTTCTATCTTTCCTTCCACCCTTCCATCATTCTTTCCATTCCTCTGGTTTTATATATTAATAATTAACCCAATAAAAACACCCATATCAAATAAACTGAACCTTTATATTTATTAATTCAGCTGAGACCTCTGCTAATATTACGATGGAAAACTGTGGAATCTGAGCATGAAAAACATGTAGCATCCATTAATGCGGTAGTTTTACTGAGAAACCTTAATCACCTGCAGAGCACACAGAAAGAGTTCTGAGTGTTCTGAAAGTGTTTGGCTGACTGGACTCAAGCAAAATTATTCTTTCACTTCTGCATTCAAGTCCATTATGATGAGATGCTTCATTGGGAACAGTTAAAAAAACAGACTAAAACACGGAGTAATAAGCTGCACTGGCACAGAATGACCTTTAAGATACTCTGCACCATTTAAAACAATTTTTTAGATTTCCAATGTAAGTGAAAAGATCTTCACTGCGGGGATGTTTAATGTTTTTTTTTTTCTTCAAGATTTTCTATTAGGTTGTCGGACAACCGTTGTCCAGCTGCTAAGAAAGTTAAATTTCTCAGTATATACGCTGTATTTGTTTGACAAATGTACTTCTAATGATTCTATAAAAGGTGCTTTGGTCTGAGGTCAGAATTTGACTTGATAATTTTCTTGGGCTGCTTATATCGTTCAGCCCCCAGCTTTCTGACAAACACACACACACACATACACACTTGTCTCACTATCTTTGCAGGGCCTTTCCATTGACTTCCATTAACTTCTACAGCTAACCATTACGGGTTCATACCTAACCCTAGCCAACGCCTAAACTCAATTCACATCTTAATCCTAAACGTGACCGCTGACTCAAAAACAGCAATTCCCAATGTGGGGTCCAGGCATTGGGCCCCAAAAGGAGCAGCCTGTCCCCACAACATGCTATTTTCCCTGAACATGGGCCCCAAATGTTTTTAAAACAACAGCACATACAAAGAGTTCAAAATGCGTATTGATTCTTGTGTTGAGCACTGCAGAAACTCTAGAATAAAAGCTTAAATAGATTTACATTTTTTTATTTAGATGCTGGTTTTCTTGCTGACTCTGTCATTAAGATTGTAGTTTCTCCAGACCTAACAACCAGTAGAGAAGTTCATTTGCATTGTTTCTGAGATGTTATCAGAATAATAAAGAAGAAAAGTATGAGGCTTTTGTTTGCATCACCATTTTCATGGATTCTATTTAATTAGGGATGAAAGTAATCAGCCTAACATGCATTTCAGGTTTAATTAATTTATGAGTGACTGGAATTATTATTGAGACTTTGAGAAGCCATCAAAGACCTAAGCACTCAGCAATACTAATAAAGACTTCCTGATGTAAGAGCTGGTTTTACTGATTTTTACGCCACAGTTAGAGCCACCAGATCAAATCAAACTTGTACACAGCTGAGCAAACTTTATATTAACCAAATGTTCATTTATACTCTGTACACTGACTGTACTAGAGCTAATTAAAATGATATGATGAGCACAAATGATTCATTTTTCTGGATGAGCAGAAACTGCAGTGGTGTGTGCAGCTGCATGTGGACATGTACACATGAGCAGCAGAGATGTCATGCTGCTTGAGCATCTTCTTATAGGCAGAGCAAATATCTGCCCTCTGGTGGTTGGTCAAGGAATGCATTCTCTAACAACTAGATTTGTAGGGGAAAAAACATATCACTGTTAAATCTTGAAATAATGCAAGCAAATTATTATGCTTCCAGTCTTTTTTATGTGGGTATGCATAATAGTAGTATGAATTATAGTATTTAAGGATCTGCATGCATATTAACACATAGTAAACTGTTTTATTTGGTCTATTTTATACATTTAAAATTTTCTTAAATGTTTGATTCGGTAATAGATGCCGAAGATAACCTTTTTTCAGATCTTTTTACGTTTCATGAAAATTTACAGAAGTCCTGAACCATTCCTTTCAATGTAAACCTAACAAGTCTGAGATCTGTTCAGATTCTTTTTTTTTTTTTTAGGGTCAAATTTTAGGGTCTTCCTAAATTTTGTTTCTGTTATTGTTTTTTTTTAAGACCATGTATTTAATCGTAAATTCTTTTTTCATATTTTAGTTATTGGTAATGTGCTGAAAAGATTAATTAATTTCATGTTGTGTTATGTTGGAGTTAATGAGCTATGGTTAAAAAAAAGTCTGTAATGCAGGTGAGGAAACAACCTTGCCATTATAAATGTGTTACTAATAGTTTATTATGTATTTATTTATGTACATTAAGTCTAAGCTTGAAATTCTAATCATTATTGTCCTTTTAATAAATCTAAGAGAGGCTCATTCTTACAGGAAGAGTGAATCTTAAACAACATTTTCCTCTTATGCAATTAGTTTAAAAGTTTCCAGTCATTTAAAACACTTTACGAACTTAACAAGGGTTCAAAAGAAACCCATAAGAAACCCGTTTTTTTGGCAAATATAACAATCAAACATGAATACATGTCACCTTTTTATTTGTGTAAATCTTGAAGGGCATATATCATTGCTTTAAAAAAAAACGTCATTTATTAACTGTGTTCAAGCATGATTGAAATCAGGAACTTCCTGAAATGAAAATGCATTTTTTATCTGAAATCAGCCATCAATGCATAAAAAAATTCCCAGCCAGGAAAAAGGTTCTGATAGGGATGCCTTCATAAGCCGTTTGTTTTTAGATAGAAAATATTTTAATTTAAAGTGTATAGACTTAACAAATCTGTAACCTATGGAGGGATTTCCTTTGAGAAAGATAATCAGGTAGATCCTTGACTCAATGTGACAAACTCAATTTTTTTACACAATGATACGGTCTCTTTCCTCAAGCTCACAATTTGGATTTAAACAGCTCAAAGCTGCAGCCTCTCTGGTGGTTATCAGCCTAAAGTAAAAGCAAAAACCTGCATTACTATTCACTTATATCATGGACTCTCTCAGCAAATCACTGGCATCATGTCACTTCAGGTTTTTAACCTTTTTTCAAATAGAGACTTTGGGTTACTATACTCCATGTGCGACTGTGTGTTTCTGTTTGACTGCTTCGCTGTAGCGTGGGCCGTCTGCCAGCATTCTGCTGAGCTCTGGTCTTGTTCACAGCTCCATCCCCTGACATCCCAGTTTATATCAGAGCCAACCACATATTTGAAACACTTTGCTGCACCAATCAGAATGCGCATGGAGGCTGTGTAGAAGGAGAGGGTGCTGAGCTACTGGAGCCAATCGAGGCAAACCTGAAGTCCATCCAGAACTCAGCAGGCTAGTCTGTAAGGTCCAGCCTGCCAGACTGCTTGACCGCTGACTTGTGAGGAAGGCCACACGATGCTCTCCAGAAGTCATTCATTTGTAATTCATCAGCATTCGTGCGAGCGCACCACACACCCTGCACATACTCCAATGAATTGTATTTGCATTTAAATTAAAATGACATGCAACTGTGAGGACAACCGTCCCTTTAATATGAACAGACAATTAACATGTAGCCAATACTCACTTTGTTCGTTGAATCGTTAAGGAAAGTTTCCTGGGAATCAGTTATTAGATCTCCTTAAAGCCTCCCTGAAGGCCCTCTCCCTCTGTTGCTGCCACTGAATCATTTCAGTACCACGGATAGCGCTCTTTAAACCCCTGTTGCTGTTTACAGTTGGAAAAGGGAGTGCTTTTGTTTTTCTGAGCTTCTGCCTTTCTCCTTCCATGTGATAAACACAGCAAAGATAGAGGTTGTGTGGTTTCTAAATTATTTCCCTCATAGAGGAATATGCAGAAAATATGCATATATTCTCCTTTTCAGTTACCATAAATGAATCGGTTGTGTTTCACTTCCCATAAACCTATGTTTTGTTTTTAATTCCTATATTGCCTGTACTCTTGCAGTCATTGATGGCACTGTTTACTGCTGCATTTCTGTTATTACAAAATGATAACAAACCAATGTTCATGAAAACAAAGCAGATTAGTTAATAATAATAATAATAATAATAATAATAATAATAATAATAATTTCAGGGATATACAGTCAGAAATGTAATATATTATACATAACTATGTTATTTATCATCATCTACGAGCTCAGCCTCTTAACCTTAATATTTGCGTTGCCTTAGAATTCGTTATTTATAATTACATAGGAGCGGGTCTCGCAGCCATGGAGGCAGACATCTTTGCGATACGGCAGCGCAGAGCCAACAAACTAGCGATTGCGAGATCGCCCATTAGGCTCGAAAGTAACTACGGCAAGTTGAGAGAGATGAACTGAGACGGTACTGAACACACAGACTAATGATCAGACTATCTGTAAAATTATCTATGTAAACAAACCTCATCACTTGAGAAGGTAGGTGATGCGGACGTCGTGGAAGACATTTTGTCCCGTAACGCTCGCCGTACTGTTGGGGGGAGAAGCGGTGAGGGGGAGATGTTCATGTTGCTGCGGTCTGCAGTCTGGACGTTAGATGTCGCTGAAAATTACACACTGTAGCTTTAAATCTCAGTTAAGAAAAAAATCAACAAGGTATTCCAAACCAACTGCGTTTTTATTTTAAACTGGCTTAAGCACTTTATGTCAGCAGTCAACACAGTAAGCATTATTAAAACATCAATCTCTCTTTGTATTTCCAAGAGTATAAAGTCCATTACAGTACCTTAATTCTGAGAGTTCCAGAAAGAATGACAACATTTCAAAATCCACCACGTCCCTTGATGTATTCAAAGCTAAATATGATCAAATAGAGCATCTCTGCTTAAATATGTTTAGCTCTCCTGATAAATTTTGAAAGTCTTTTGCTTTTCACAGCCTAAATAAATAGTAGAAATGTCTCAATAACCAGTAACTGAGAGCTGACATTGCTATAAGATTCAGTTTCTGGTCATCAGATGATTCTACAGTAAATCTTTTGCATAGTTTGACACAATGCCTGTTTAATCAATATTAATTTGACAACGGAACAACAACAACGGAAAGCAAAGAGTGATAGTGAAATTATAATTCTTTAACCCTTTAACTGGTTGATGTTTTTAATTTCTTAGCAGATTTATATTTTAACCTCATTTTCCTTATAACAAAAGTTTTTAAAATTAGACATTCTTTTCACATTGTTGACATGCATCTTTCTCTTTCCATTATTGTTCAGATGTCAGCTGTAGCTGTCATCATTGCAAAAGCTTCTCAAAATCATAAGGAGTTTCTCTTTCCGTAGGAGAAGTTTTGTTACTTTTTTACCATTCCATGTTTTTATATCCTTAATTTAAATTTAGGATACAACATGAGACAGGACAATGTGTTGTACTGAATAAAATGTGGTTCACAAAGAAGAGAGGAGACAAGATATTATAAGCAATTTTGTAAAACACAGAACTCTTAGTTTTTTTTGCTCTAAAACATACTTATTTGTGTTTTTACAAATGCAGCAAAGGTCAAATGTGTTTTAGAGAATCAAATGAAGTTCAACTTTGATGAAAGTATATTTTAAACTAATAAAAGAAGGAACCTTTAACGTAGACTCATTAGGAGACTGTAAAATATTATTCTTTTTGCATCATTAGTTTTCCTATTTTTCTAAATGATAGTAAAAATGCTACACCAACACTAAATTGTCAAAGTATGCAATATAAAAGGATAGTGTCTAAGCTTTACTGAGCAGCTTCTCTTCTCTTTTCTTTTTTTTTTTTTGACTGTTTAGGGATTATTTAGTGGGTGAGGCAGCAGTTTTGTAGGAAACCTTGTTAGAACTTCTTCCTTAAATCTTAATATAACAGAGTAGATACTATGTTTATGATGCACATTTAAAATTATACAAGGTGAATATGATAAAATGTTATATAAAAAAGTATGATAGTTATCAAAAAGTCTAAAAATGACAAAAACAATTAAATTAAAGAATGAGCATTTAAAGGTTAAATAAAATTGTCAAACTTTCTTGTTTCAAAAAATGGTTCAGTTACAGCGACTCATAATTTTTATAGCATGTAGTCTTAAAATGATCACCGGAGGTATTTATTAATAAAGTCTGGCCAATTCATTCTGCTCTGGTTCTCCTCTCAATAAGGCATTCTATTAAGCATTCTGAAATGCTTTGCAGTCTTTTCACATACAGCTCAAACATTGTTGCAGCTGCAGCTTTCGAAAAAAACATGTCCACTGGAAAAAGGAAATGAAATAAAGCAAAGCAATCAGGAACTTTGATCAATTTGCTTTATATAATCTCACCAGAGTGTGAAAGGTTCATTTTATATCTAGATTAAAAAGCAATTTAAAGTAATTAGCAAAACAAAGAAGACAAACTGACCACGTCATGTTGTCATGTAGTGGATAAACTATATCTCAAGTGAATTTGAATGATTTTAAAGGAACAAGTTTATATAGATTTATGAGAATTTTTATATGTTTCAGCAGCTTATTTTTTATCAAAGCCACCGTTGCACGTCTAAATGTATGTATTTGGGTCTTAGGAGCTCAAATGGATGCAGAGTCACAGGGGACCAGTGTTCATGGGTGATATAGCTCTTCCTGCTTCTTTCATGCAGATAAAAAGCCACTTGCAGAGAAAAGTGTGTGGTTATGGGTTGGGAGTTTGTGCTTTGGCCTACAGCTAATGATGTAAAAATGTTGAAAAAAAGTGCAAGAGCTGGAACTGTTTGGAAGTGACACAAACTTGAAATCAGCGCAAGATATTTTTGTCACTTTAAAAGCAAAGATGATTTCACCTTTTATCTCATCTTTATACATATATTCTCTGCTTGTTTGTTTTGTAACAAGTCATGTTTGTTTATTTTTTGCTTTTTCTTATTTCCCCACAGGTCACATCTCTCCATGGAAGGCTTCAAAACAGGTATATTGAAAATATTGATCATAATATCAGGAGTATGCTTTTGTATAAGGGATAGTAATCTGCATATGAGCGCATTCTGGCTGCAGTTGCTCCCAGGCCCAACTGAATTTGGAGACTAGATCCTTGGGAGCAGCCCTAAATATTAAGCTGACTTTGGTGAAGTGTACCACCTACAATTCGCTGCTGCATTTGACATTTAAAGCAGAACGACGGACATATGGTGATGATCCAGCTCCTGTGCCTTCCAATATCTTTTCGATAAACATCATTTCCCTTCAAATTATCTAACTTTCATAAAAAGATCATTATTGTTAGGTAAAATTATATTTCTTCATAATTATTCACATGCTTCTGTTTTATTGAGCAGCCAGGTGATAATTTGGAACTAAGAGTCAGTTTTCATAAGGATTGATAGACTAAGAGGTTAATTTATGATTTATTAGGTGTTAATGGTCATTTTTAGAACATTTAACCAACCTGAATAAGTATAATGTTAGATGTATCAGTTGCTAAAACCTATTCTATTCAATTATTATGAATGAGGATCTCATATGCAAAAAATATCAAATTTAAGAACACTACTCTCCTTCATAGTAACAACTTTACATTTATTACATGGCCCTTTTGTTTATTAAAGGTAAAAAGAAACTTTAGAATACTAAATATATCTTCTGAATTCTAAAGAGGAAATTCATATTTGAAGTAGATGCATGTGAATTTTGAAAAGTGACACAGGAAACAACTGTTTTTGCAACAAATTTGAGGGGTTTTTTGAGTAATTTTTAGAGTTACTGCTCCTCTATCAGAACATACAAAACCATGTTTATTTCCATTCAGTTTATTCATATGTCGCCAATTCACAACATGTCATCTCAAGGTACTTTACACAATTTAAAGAGATCATATAGTCAAACTGAATAAAGTTTTCTATCTAAGGGAAACCAGTTGATTGCATCGACTCATTGACATGAAGGCAATCCCTCACACCAATCATGCTTGTAGTGACAGTGGAGAGGAAAAACTCCCTTTTAGAGGAAGTAACCTCAAGAAGAACCAGACTCAGTGTGAGCGGCCATCTGCCTAGACCTACTGTGGTTCAAGGAGAGCATAATGTTACAGACCGAACTAACAAATTCTGCAGAATGGGAGAATAGAGATATAATGAAGCGTGCTTTGGTGGTGCAGTGGTTTGCTCACATGACCCATGTATGAAGGCCTTAGTCCTCGACACGGGTAACCCAGGTTCGAATCCGACCTGTGGTCCTTTCCCACATGTCTCTACCCGTCTCATACCCCCTTTTCTGTCAGCCTACTGTCCATAAAACGAGCCACTAGTGCCATAGAAACTAAAAAAAAAAAAAAAAAAATAAAAAATAAAAAATTTGTTAAAATGAAAAACAAATGAGTGTGCCTCATCTGCAGAGACTAGTAGAGCAAAAAAAAAAAAAAAAAAAAACGCAGAATGATGAAAAAGGGGTCCCTATGTCCTCCAACTGTCTAAGCCTACCGCAGCATAACTATAGCGATAGCTCACATACGTTCTTGTGTATTTTAATATGTATATTTGTACCCTCTCTTCACTTAATATGTCTTGTACACAGTTAAATTTCTTTTTATAATTCTACTTTTATTTATTCATAAATAAAGCAAGAATAAAAACGAGCTCCAGAGCTGAAGTAATATGTTTTTTTAACAAGATTATCAAGAAAAGGAGGGGTCCCATCATTTTCAACCCCTCACTTACAAATCACTGTCCCAATTCGCCAGTGTTTACACACTTAAGCCTGTGCACTCGAGCCCTTATCTGCAGTTTGACCAAGTACACACTTCGTAGTGGGGGTTGGGGGTAGGGTGTAGTTTGAGTATTGAGACGACGCACAAGTTGGACTTATTTATGATTTATTCAGCATCAACACTTTGAGTTCCGCTGTATACATGATCAGTCAATTGAAGCCCATGGATTAAATTCTATTGAATTGAGATGTTTAATCTTAGGTGTAAAAATGCTTTAGTAATATCAACACAAAGTTCTGCACTCTGCTGCTTATTATTGACTTTGTTTAGTTGGCCTTGTCATATTAGTGTTATCAGTGCTTAATAAAAGATTCAAATACATATCAATTCAGTCTAAAACACAAATATGTTCTTATTTATTATTTTCTGACATCTACTATCATCCAGATAACTATTTTTAAATCTCTGAATTATAGAATCACTGAAGCACAGCATTTGAATAAATTTAGCTCACATAATTAGCATGTCAGAGGTCATGGGAATTAGTTTGCTATTTAGTTTACAAATTTCCTCTTATATTCCCTGCTGTTTGTGAATAAGGTTAGCCTTGTAGCTGTTTTAATTTCCTTGTCATTAGCTTGTTCTTTGTGTAGCTGCTGATTTACAAATTATAAACGTAAAAATCTATTACCGGTAAATTTTTTTGAATTGTCTGCTGCAGTTAGATTTATTTTGAGGACAATCATGAATAAGCAATTGCAACCTGTATTTTAGATAAGAATAGAAATGTAAAGCGTCCATAATATTTTTCCTTCCATGTCGCCAAAGTGTCTGGTGATCTTTTAAAGTGTTTTGATTAATACCTTTTCAAGCTGTCGGAAGATATTTTAAAGTTTCAAGGTTTTAAAGTCAGTCCTTGTTTTCATTAAGAATGATATAGAGTGCAACCAAGAAAATAATGAAAATAAAGGAAAAAATTATCATTAGATTTAAAGAAAGTAACTACAGCAATTGAACTAAATCTGTAACTGATTAATTAAGGAAACAAATACCCAACAGAGAACCCTCGAATTTATTATCCTTCAGCTGATCAGTGACTAAATGCCAAGTTTTCATTCATGAGACCTATTCAAGGATCCACTTCCTGGTGCTAAAATACTTTCTATGGCAACAGAAACTGTGAGAGATGGAATTGATGGACTATTGCTGATTACATGATACTAATTAAAACCAACCATAAATAGAATATCATCACACTCCATGACTGAATTATGCCCAGTGAAATGACAAAAATCTTGTTGGTGTTTTTCTTGCTGTTTAACCAGTGGGACCCTCAGGGCAGCCCTCAGACGAATCTTTCCGGTCCGGTCCTGCCGCCTGGCACGCCCTTCCCAAACCAGCCACAGCATCGCACATCTGTACCCGACTCCACAGAAGGCTTTGACCTGAACAAACCCGACCCTTATGACCTGTATGAGAAGTCAAGGGCAATCTATGAGAGCAGACGTAAGTCCAGAAAAAAACCCAAGTGACTCTTTCTTTGTTACTTACTACAGATTTAACAGACATATCAGCTTTTAAATACATGCTTCAATCCTACAACAATGGACGTCCTAGAGTGTCCTTGTCTTAATCTAGCACAGAAAAAGATATTTGAAACCAGACATAATTAGCCTACAAGTCCTGAAGCAACGTAGGCTTAACAAAGACTTGGAAAGTAAATTCTTGCTAAACTGAATGGATTAACATTGACCCCCTTTTGATTACACACAGACTTGTAGACATCTTAGTTTTACCTTCTGCTTCCACCCTCTACGTTACAACCCTTATCTGCTTTTGATCACATTTTCTGTCTTTTGCTCCTGATTGCTTATTCTGTATAATTAAGCTCCAGGAGGTTGTCTTTGTATTTGATTTTGGTTTATTGTAGGAGCTGTTACATCACAGTATACAGGTCTCTATTTTCAAAACTACTATTTCCCTTTTAAAGTGATGTGTACCTAGCTACCCATCTGTTGTTTTTTGTTATTGATAGGGCCCCAAAGCACATATGTCCTCCTAAATCTGGTTTTCCACATGGCAACATCTAAATAGTAATTGTCTGTGTGTTGGTTTTAGGTCCTGAATATGAGGAGGTGGAGGTCCACCTGCTGAGAGAGAAAACAGGCTTCGGCTTCCGCATCCTGGGGGGAGATGAGGCCGTGCAGGCTGTGAGTCCGGACGCCCGTGACAAGGCTCGTATGGGACGGGCTGGACCACACACATATTTAACCTCATTACACCTCTGTCACATCTTAGCACATCATCTCACCTAATGCAACCCTGTGCTCATCCATAAACAAAATCCTCTACCTTTCAAATATATTCATATCTTTTAAAGTTGTCCTTCATGCTGTAACGTCAGATTTCAGTGTATTTTATGGGAATTTTGTTTGGTAGGCCAGCATAAAGTCATTCATAATGAGGCTTAGAAGGTAGAGGAGAGCATTAATCAGAGAAACAGCCAAGCCCATGGTAACTCGAGAGGAGCTACAGAAATCCACAGCTTGAGTAGAAGAATTTGTTATCATGTTAGTCATACATTTCACAAATCTGAATGTATCTAATTGATGGAACATTGGCAAGGAGGAAGCCGGGAGAGGCCCTATTTGCAGTTTCTTACTATAAAGGAGCAAGCAAAATGTGAAAAAGGGTGTTTTAAAGGGATAACACCAAAGGTGAACTTTTGAGTATTGATGCAGAATGTTATTTGCAGAAGAAAAATTAAAACTGCACGTTTGAGAAGAAAAGCACAGTTTCTATAGTAAGAAATGCTACTGGGAGTATCATGCCTTTGAAAAGCTTTTCTTCAACAGGAACTGTTGAACTGGGCATTAGATAGAGCTAAGCACAGTGAAATCAGACAATCAAAGACTTAAAAATGGATCCTCACAGATCCAACCAGGCTAAACTTTAGGTATTTTGCAAATAAAAATGGACAAACAGTTCATTCTTCACATGAGTAATAGCTGACAAATGCATGTCTCAAAATACTTCCATCCATAACTGCATTGCAGATGTGACAGTACAAAGTTAAACCATCTACCGTATTATTTTGCTTTAAGTTTTTTTTATTTGTTGTTTTATTGATTTATTGCACATAATCCCTTTAAGATACACTAAAGTTTTTGGCTGTGACAAAACAGAAGCTGGAAAAGTTCAAGGAATGAATACTTTCATAAGGAGGTGCATCTCCAAGATACACAAAGATTTACACACCAACACTATAATCCTCTAACTGTTCACTGCCTCCCATACTGAAGTGATGCCTTGCTAATAAAACAGCATGACTGTGGTACAGAGTGAATTTGGCTGCAGAATGTCTGGAAGGTTTACCATGGTCCTCCATTTTTGTGTCATTCCACTGTTGCCTCCTTCTCATCTTCTACACCTTCATCTGCGCTGCTAATATTGATTGTCTTTCAACAGATTGTTATTGGCGCTATAATAGAGAACACTCCTGCTGAGCGCGACGGCCGGCTTCGACCCGGGGACGAGCTAATTTCAGTGGATAAAAACGTGGTTGCTGGGAAACCGCACAAATACGTCATTGACTTGATGCACGCAGCCGCCCGCAATGGTCAAGTCAGCCTGACTGTGAGGAGAAGAGTGCAGATGCCTGGTGAGGACATGTTTTATTTCTTTTTCTTTTTTATAACACTAGAGAACAAGTTGCTCAGTTCACTGGCATCAGACAAAAAACATGACAAAAACATGACAAAACGCCCATGCTGACAGCTCGGTTTTCTGTGGTAGGAGATCATACTTGTACAATTGAATAAAATATCTACATCCACAAATTAGCTTTTCTCACAATTTCAAACTGGATCAGACTAAACCTTTTCTTTGTTTTAAGTCTGGTTCATCCTGTTCCTGTAGTAATAGTATAGGAATAATGTCCACTCATTTCAATGTTAAGGAAGGGGACAGGTTCTGTGCCACATAGATGGAAATGTTCAGATCATAACGGCTGAAGTTGGAGACTTTATTAATCCATGGTGACTAGAACTGTAAATCCAAAAACAACTTCAAACTGAGATTACAGTTTGCATAAACTACAACTGAAATTTTTGACCATTATGGTTAAAAAATGTGAATCTCTTTGTTCTACTGCAAGGTGCTGGTGCCCTTCACATATCGGTTAGCATTATGAAGAGAGATATTTTGATGTACCGATCTCAGATGTCCAGTATTTAGCAGAAAGTTTGTGGGCGGAGCTGTAAAGGTGTTTGACAGCAAGGCAGCCTTTGAACATGGCTCAGCAATAGAGATGCACAATTCAATTTTTCCAGTCCAATACCAATAACATGGCTGAGTGTATCGCCTGATACCCGATACTGATCTAACACTACTTTTGAAGAAATTAACAGTGAGATTATAAATTCATGAAATTGTCCAGTTTTCACAGTCTTTCATATGAGCATAATAATCATATGCCTAAATCGACTGGCGCTCGCTCAGAATAAGATGGTACTTTGTTGCCCGACATAATTCTCGAGGGACTGCCTTGTGGGAGGGTCTAGCAAGACACCCACACACAGACAGGGAGCAGAGCAACCAGCATTGGACACAAAATGCCAAAAGGCAAGTGCAGCTTCACAGATTAACTCCAAAAAAATTTGATTCCCAGTTGCGACTCAATGGAAGGCTGAGTGCACCCTGTGTAAAGCTGGCACATTTGTTTCAGTGTCTAATAAAGGTGCACATGGATGCGGAAAAGAATAAACTGTGCAAGGTGAGAGCTCCTCTGCAAAGTTGACTGAATGCTTTCTTAGACCTGGGAAAACAGAGGATGCTGTAAAGTGGTAATTTGTTGAAGCTGTATTTTCTAATACAGAAGAGGTCATAATTAGAACCTTATTTGAGTTTATGTATTTTAAAATGGAGCTATAATTTTGTTAATGGTTGTTACAGATTTTGTTTGAATACAAACATTATTTTTGTACCTTTTAGGTATAATAAAGCATGTTCATTAACCTCTGAGAAGACTGTCTGAATCCGTCTCGAGGCTGGGCAAATTGTTCTTAATTAACCATATACTTGTACTTTGCCATGCGAGTGAAGGGATCAGGGTGAAATAAACATTGTAAAAGAAAAGGTAAAAAATGAACACAGATCATGGTTCTCACTAACATATTTCAGCATGGCGACTCCCGGAAATGTTTACCAGAATACAGTGAAATTAGTTTTGTAGTAGTGTCAGCCCTTTACTGACGTCTGGGCTCCACCTACGCAGGTGAGTCAGAGCAACAACTCTGTGTCAGTGTGATAGTTTTCATATTAAGGAAATATATTATTATTGCCTCCAAACACGGAGCAACGATCTAAATAAAAATGGGCTTAATTAATTAGTTAAATAAAAGAAAGATGATATGGGTGTAGCATTTAAAAAAAAAAGGAAGCCTGCTGAAGGATTAAAAAACAATTGATCCAAATCACACAGTTCAAAAGAAAATTCTATTAGAATAAATGACTAGGGAATTCAATATTAATTCCTTGAAGAAGGCAATAAAAATGTGTTAAAAACCCTTTGTCTTGTTTCTCATTACTTGACATTCAGTAAATAGAAATAATTTGGGCTTTCCTAATTTAACATAGGCTATAATGTTTGTTATTTTATGTTACATTTTGAGAAAAAAATGGCAAATTGTTTTATCAGGGTATTTAAGCATTTTGATTCAACCTTTTTCTGTCATGATGGGTTCACTGAAAGCGACCCAAGAATGCAGAACACCACTGACGGACACAAGGATGAAAGTTTAACAGTTTTATTTATGCACAAGCACACTGAATATTCTGGTTCAGGTTCGGGGCCTGGATTCTGGTTCACCGGAGTCTGCATGAGAGACAGTTCAGTTAGCGTTGCCAACAGAGGTTTGACTTCCAGAAGTTTACCGATTGTACCTTGAGGGTTCTTGAGGTTAGCTTTGGGAGAGTCACTGTTGGTTCTGGAGAGGAGCTCATCAGCAGAGTCCGTAGCTGCTTCAGCGTCTCACGTCTAATTAGAACAGACCTTGGCTTTGGGTTTCCCAGCTCAAGTCCAGAGCTGCTTGAGGGTTCTCTGTGAATCTTCAGGTTTGGCTCAGAGGGTCAGCTCGGCAGGTTAGCTCTTCCTGAGCTTTCACAGAGGAGGCACAGGTTTCCTGGAAAACAGACACAGGGGTTAGAATCCAAGCTGGATTCAAAAGTCATCAAATTACTCTGAGGATCTAGGCTTAAGCGCTGACCAACTGGAACAACACTGCGGCGTTGAGGCAAGGTCTGAAGACAGCTTAAGTAGTGGATCCTCTGATGATCTGCAGCTGTGCAGGAGGCTCCCTCAGAGGATCCACGGTGGACTCTGCTGGAGAAAGGTGGGATTTCTCCAGCTCCCAACATTTTCCTGCTGTCCTTGTTTTGTTGGAGGCTTCATGATTTAAAAGTCATTCTGATGGAATATTCAAAAATGCAAACATGTTACAGAACTAAAATAATACTTGAACCCTGTATTGTCTGTTTTGTTTTAATGCATCATTGACAGACAGATTGATGTTACAGTTACAGTAGCTCTTTTTCTCTCTTTTCCTTCAGGCGAGCCTTGTCCAGTAAATGGTCGCAGTCCTGGTTCGGTGTCAACGCAGCACAGCTCTCCTCGCAGCGATGCAGCCTCCGCACCGGTCCCCATACCTGCAAATGCCCCCGCTACCACCTCACAACCGGAGGGATCGGCTCTGCAAACCAGCGACGTTGTTATAAATCGCAAGGAGAACGAGGGCTTTGGCTTTGTAATAATCAGCTCCTTGAACAGACCAGAGAATACCACAGTTATCAGTGAGTTCATCCTGTAGTCTTATGAGCCCTAAAGAGGGGATATTAACTTTTTTTGATGAAATATCAGATATATATCACAGAAAAAATGTAATGATATCCGACATTATTAGTTGTTCACTTGGAACAGAATAGAAAAGAATAGAATAGAATAGAATAGAATAGAATAGAATAGAATAGAATAGAATAGAATAGATGTAAGATAAATAAAAAAAATAAAAAGCTATAAACTGGAAACTATACACTGGGCCAAAATTTCAACCTTAAAACAAAATATGTGTAAATTCTTAAAAGATATACTCAAATAAAACAATATAGAATTTAAGACGAGATGAAATAAACAATGTGCCACTATGTCAGTAATTAAAAAAGATACATGGTGTGTCTTCACACTGTTGGGTTAAGAAACAAAACACTATTTACAACAGTTGAGGTGGCTCGGACATCTTCTTCGGATGCCCCCTGGACGCCTCCCTCGGGAGGTGTTCCAGGCACATCCCACTGGGAGGAGGCCCAGGGGACGACCCAGGACACGCTGGAGAGACTACGTCTCTCGGCTGGCCTGGGAGCGCCTAGGGCTTCCCCCAGCAGAGCTGGAGGAGGTGTCTGCGGAGAGGGAAGTCTGGGAGTCTCTGCTTAGTCTGCTGCCCCCGCGACCCGGTTCCGGATAAAGCGGGAGACGACGAGTATGAGTACGAGTATTTACAACAAAAAAGACAAACTGCAAATAAAATGCTGTGATATCAACACATTTAGTTTGATCGGAGCAGCAATGGTTATAAATTCTAAGAGCTGCTGGGAAGTGGGATCTCTGATAACCTTCCTTTGTGCACCAAGGATGCAACAGTGTGTCACTGAATGGGCTCTCTGTTAAAACTGACTCACACAAATGGATTAGGAGCATCAGTCATTCAGAGCAACTCAAAGTGGAGCAGCCATTCATCTTTCATTTTGAAAGGAGTGAGCTGAGGTGAAACCTTTCAAGTATGAGGGTTAGGGGTAGGCTGGTCCCTCTGGACCTGCTATGTCTGTATGGATGAATGGATGGACAACCTTCATTATGGTTAACGTTGAGGATGTTATGCTGAATGGTCTCAGGTTTTAAAAATCTATAGTAGTTTGATGTTTGAACTGATATATTCAGTTCGTCATGTTAGTGAAGGGTTCTCTTAAATCACAAAACAACACATAAATAAACACTCTAAAGTTCACTATTTTTCAGCTTGGCATGATTTTCTTGTAATTCTACTTCATATTAACTTGGTGCAAGAGGTTTTTTAACCAAATTGGTTTTCTTAAAAAAATAAAAACGAACACACTTCCACAGTCGGAGGCTGTAGAATTTAAAGCAATTCTAACTCGTCATTTATTCTTTCTTGACATCTCCATTTTTAAAACTGCCACTGGCTACAACCTTATTACTGTCTGTGTCCAGCTGTGCCTCACAAAATTGGACGCATCATTGAAGGAAGCCCTGCGGACAGATGTGGAAAGCTAAAGGTGGGGGACCGAATTCTGGCTGTGAATGGACAGTCTATCATCAGCATGCCTCACGCTGATATTGTCAAGCTCATCAAAGACGCTGGACTAACAGTGACACTGCACATCATACCAGAAGAAAGTAAGTGTCCGTGTGTGGAATTAAATCAGATGTTACTTAATTGCCAGAACTCGTTGTATTCTAAACAGATAAAGATGTTTATTTCATGTCAGTGTAATTTGTTTTTTTTCATTCTCCGTTGAGCTTTTCGTGTTGCCATGTTACAACCACAAACTTTAGTGTATCTTATAAGATAAATTCATAGTTTAATCAGATGTTGGAAGAGGAATGGTTTGGGTCCTTTGTGGCTTTCGTTTTTTATATGCTTCCCTCAACTGGCATTATAAAATCTTTTAATAGGTTTTATAATGCCAGATAATTCCTCATCACTTTTATGTTGATGACGTTAAACTATTTGTGTTGTTTAAACTTTATCAGCTTGGCAGGCTGTCCAACCTTGTCCACTTTTTATCCAAGGTCTGTGATTGGCTGTCCAGCATTTTTCTCCTTGACCACTTTATATCCAGGCCGAAGATTATTTATTTGATGTTGTTACAAAATATGTCGCTTTTCATTCCCTCCGTTCGTAAGCTCAGGGTCTGTTAGTTTTTCCACAACCCAAATTGAAAACCAAGGAGGATCAAGCCTTTCAGTCTGTGGCACCAAGGCTGTGGAACAGTCTACCTCTGCAGCCATCTTTAGTTGACCCTTTGGACTCTTTGTTTTTAAAACGTGGCTTTTTTTTAAATATTCATTTTTATCATGATTTGTTTTTAACTTATCTTATTTCTGTTAATTTATATTTTGATTGTTGTTTTATTTGTTTACTGTGCAATGCTTGGTGATTGCTTTATCTGTGAAAGGCGCTTGATATACTTTATTACTTATTTACAGTTTTGGCCAACTTTAAATTTTAAGATTACATATTTTATGTCTTCATTTATGTCTCTAGAAGTACAAAACATTTAGAGATATACCACAAAATGCTTACAGCTATTTGTTACAGAAGTAACTGACTCATGATGAGTGCTAAAAAAGCGCCCCCCCCTCCCAGGTTTTTTACTTTAAAATTACACAAAATTTTGTGTTGATTTGATATAATCCAAATAAATTACATTTAACTGTGTTATATGTCATAATGTAAAAAAAATGTGAACATATTAAAGATGAAAACTTTTAGAATTTACTGTATTTTACTAACATACAGTACCGGGTAGTTGGTGGTATTTCTTTGCTAGATGGTGGCATATTTTCCCATCTTAAGTATTTTTTCTATTTTTAGTCTATTCTTGTCCTCTCCCTTTCAAACCACCTTTTCTACTGGGGTAAAATTTAGGTTTAACCTTCTGTCTTTAACAGGTTCCCAGTCTGGACCCAACTCAGAGAAGCAGAGCCCCATGACCCAGAAACACAGTCCACAGACCCAGCCTAGTCCTGTAGCCCAGCCAAGCCAAGGAGGCGCCCAGTCAAGCCAAATGGCTGCTCAGTCTGGCCAAACGACGGCTCAGCCGGGTCAAGCAGCAGTCCAGCCTGGCCAGACAGCAGCTCATACTAACCAAACAGTGGGTGGACCTCCTGCACCAGCAGCCTCCCAGCCTGCACCAGCAGGAACCCAGCAGAGCCCAATCACTCAGCCCTCTGGCCTTCCTCCGCACCTATACCTCCATGACGGCAGGTGAGATGCCATGTAGAGAAATGTTCAATGTCTTGGTAACTTCTTTGATAATATCTGGAAGAAAAAGATATGAGATTTCCTTAGGTATCAGATTCTGTTCAGAGGAGAGAATGTATTCTTTTCTTGCATGCCAGAAAGTTCACAGGGAAAAACATGTGACTGCAGACAGTTTTCTTCCCAGTCTGGATGTCAGGCTGGCCGTGTTGCATAACACCACTTAGCGCCTAGCATCAGTGAATAATTTACCATACGGTATCTCTTTTATAATTCAGGAGCACTGCAATCAGGCCGTATTACGTGTCAAAACTTTCAAAGTGTGAGTGCTTGCTTTGATAGGTATGTAAGTCCCAGTCCAGAACTCACTAAGCAGAACTCCCTGAGCTGTACATTTATACCAGGTTTACAAAAAAAAACTGAAAAGAAGCTTTAAAAACTGGAATTCTTATTTCCATCCTTTATCTCCATCTGCACGCATGCAGGAATTCTTACCCACCGTTATCCTGGTATGTTAGATATTTCTCTACTGATTAACCTCCAGTGGACTCCACTGAGGTTATGACTTCTTAAAAACACTGCTCTCTTTCTTGTGACACAAAGCCCAGCTGTCATCTTGTTGCTGATTTTCCTTCTTTTAGGTCAGAGGTAAAAGCAAGACAGGATGTCAAACCAGATTTCCGTCACCCTCCATTTACTGACTATCGGCAGCCTCCTGTTGACTACCGTCACCCTCCGGTGACTGATTACCGCCAGCCTCCAACGTTGGACTACCGACACCCGCCTGGCCTTCTGGACTTCAGGCAGCATCCTGCAGCAGCACAGTTTCCTTTGGGAATCCCTGCTGATTTCCGACTACAGGTAGATCCAGAGCAAAGACCCATCTGTGCCTGTTTGACAGTGTTCCCTAATTTGTATGCAGATTCTATAACACCCAGATTAATAAATAACTTTTATTGCTTTTTTGGCGTCGTAAACATACGCATTTGTTAATCTGGGTCTTCATATTGTTCTGCAGGACTATGATTATTTTACAGTGGAGCTGGAGAAAAGTGCAAAGGGTTTCGGCTTTAGTATTCGTGGGGGCAGGGAGTACAGCATGGACCTGTTTGTGCTGCGGCTTGCAGAGGATGGTCCTGCAATACGAAACGGAAGGATGAGGGTGAGGTGAACTCTTTGCAAGCTCAGAAACAATTTCATGTAATAATAGCTATGCTGCTTTATAAGAGTAATCTACCATCTGAAATTCCCCATCTTCTGTCACTTACAACCAAAAACATCCATGTTTTCTATTAGGCTTTTATGTAACAGCTGCAGTTTTTGGGGTGGAATGGAAATGTTCTGAAAGCTGTACAAAATGAAATTTTGTTCCGTAAACACTGTGTATAAAATGACAATAAAAGTTGTCTAAGTCTAAAGGCTAAGTATAACTTTTGCACATCTAAACAGTTGTTTTCCCCTTTTGCAAAATATCTTGACCTCAGTCAGATTGGATCAAGACTGTGGTTTAAATAAGACAAATTAATACACTATGATTTAATGAATGTATTCAGGTTTTTATTGTCTGTTTAGAGTATTTTTCTCCAGGTTGATAAACCTGTGCCCTATTCTTCAGGCAGGTTTTCTTCCTGGATTGCCTTGAGTTTTGATCCAGACGGTGATTGAGCAATACTCTATGAAACGGTTTAAAGATATTGTTTTAGAAGAATCAGAAATATATTTCTTGGTCAAGGTTTTATGGAAAAATAAGGGATTTGATTTCAGTTTTAGTTACTGTTAACATACAAGTATTAAGTCTAAATAAATAAATCTTAGAACAAATAAGATAGATGAAAAAAAGACCAATACGGGAATGTGCTTACTTCCAATACATATATGTATTTTTATTTTTTTTTTTTTTTTTCATTTTTTCCCTAATGGTGAAATAGTATAAATATTCGCCTTTTGTTACAGTAGAGCAGCTGGCTGCTCTGACTGTAAGGTTTGCAACAGAGAGACAGCCAGAAGAAGAAACTGTCTCTGTGGTGGCTGCTTTTTGGAAGCAGTCTGCCGACCTTAAGGTAACATTTTAAACAGTTTATGGCCAGGATGTGGTGTCTGAATCTGCCCTGAGGATCTTCCTGTTCACTGTAGTTTGAGTCTTTTCTGTTGTGTGGATGAACCAAGCGACAGTGAGGGACTTAGTCTGAATAAGGGTCATATTAAAATCAGCCAGCAGCTCCTGGCCGTCTAATGCTGGAAGTCTAATGCTGATGTACCTGATGTAATCGGTCTTGATGAGGAGGGTCAGGGGAGGCGGTGTAGGGGGTGTTCGCCGGAAGTCCACTGTCATGCCAACAGTCTGATTATAGGTTAATGTCGAGGTGTTTAACTAATTAACTAATTAGTGGTTTGACTAAATTTTATTTTGGGTTATCAGTTTACCCATGTATATTTGTTAAATACATGTGAGTGCCACGTCAGTAATTTGTAAAAAGGATCATTTTTAACATATTTAACGTTCTAATAAACTACATTGAATTTCTGGTCGTAATGTGACAAAATGTAGGAAAAGTCCAGGTGGTGTGGAGAGTTACTGTATTGTGCTTAAAAGCAAAGTGAAGGAAATCCTTTTACTGACGTCTGATTGATTTTGAAAGCCAGTCTTCCAGGGATAAACGGGGACTAACAAGGCTGGACCTTCACCTGTGTTTGTCTTTGTGTTTGTGTGTGTACTTGTTGCAGGTGGGGGATCAAATCATAGAGATTAACGGAGACAGCACCCGGGACATGACTCATGCGCGTGCGATTGAACTCATAAAGGCGGGAGGCAGACGGGTCAGGCTGCTGCTGAAGAGGGGCACGGGACAGGTCCCTGAATATGGTGGGTCTGCCTGGAACAAGGATAATTCACTAAAAGGCTCAATCTTTCTACTTCAAGTCCCTGTTTAGCCTCTGACCTGACTATTCTCTCACAATTTTTTTTGCCCCTCTTGCCAGGCCTTCTCTCTCTTTTTTTTATGAACCTTAAATCAAACGCTGATAACTTGTTGCATTTTATCCTTGCTTTTCTATTCTCTCCTGTGTAACTGAGCTCATCTTCATATATTAAACTGTTTCCTACCAAACTGCCGGTATGTCTCTGTAACAGCCTTCATATACTGTAACCCATCAGCTTTAAGTCTAATGATTGGTTAGGCTTTTACTTGCCTTCCCTTAGGAATGGTACCTTCCAACCTCTCCATGTGTATGAAAGGTGACACTCTAAGCTCCCCCTATTTCTTCCTCATGGGCCACTCTAAAGACACGGTTCGTGGAAAACTGCATGTCTCTCTTTTAACATACTACTCTGTGTGCTCTCTGCATGCATTTGCATTTATGTGCTTATAGATGCATGGCTACGATAACAGCCCAATATGAATCTGCATTTCTGACCATACCCTCATTGAGACATTAACATCATGTTAAAAATGTTATACTTTTATTGAACACTTAGTTTTCCATTTTGAAATTATTGAATTTTCTTTAATACACAGAGTCTTACACAAAGGCTTAAATATATACACACACGCCCACCTGTGTTCTGTTAGTTGTCCTTTAGCAAGTTTTACATCTGTCACTAAATTTTTGTCGCCATCAACAGGCTTCTGACATAATTCTGGCTACGTCTTTGACAAATCGACTCAGCAGAAACTGTGTAGGTTATTTAAACCGCTCCTGGCTTTGAACTGACTTACATTTTCTTGATCGGGCGAAGTTTTGACGTTTGCTTGAGATTATTGTCCTGTTGGAACAGGAAAGGAAATTGATAATGATGCTGAAGAACTACCCAAAAACTACTGAGATTAATGTATTTTAATAAAGTACAAGTAGCTGAATCTAGAATGTCCTTCTGCATTAAAGTAAGCCTAATTAAAAGAAGACTTCACTCTAAAATCAACATCATCTAGAGGGATTGAAATTAGCGTTAGTATGTAGAGAAAAGACAATAACCTAATGAAGGAAAGTTTGTTCAGCAACACAAAGATCAAGATATTTGGCTACAATTAACAAAAGTCCACATTAATATGTGGAAGACTCACGAAAGGCTTTTAAGCTAAAACACTGTAACAACTACTGAGCATGATGGTGGCAGTATCATGCTGTGAGTCTGGAGGACAACCTCCAAGTTTAAATTAACAGTTAAATGGCTGAAAATTGGACAGCCATGAGAGTTGTGAAAAAAGAAAAATTACCCTAAACATGCCAAACCTGGTTTTGCAGTGGCTGAATAGGGTAAGATTGGGTCACTGGAAAAGCCTTAAAAAAAATCTGCTGATTGTGCTAAAAAGTAGAATTCTTCGCAGAAAATGAAACAATTTTTAGATTTCATGTTAGAGGCTTGTTAACGACAGCAAACTTTTTAATAAGCAGCAAATCGTTCAAGCACATGTAGCCTTATATTAGCAGGGGTGTTTGTATATATTTATTCCTGCATGCATATGTTTACCCTGTGTGAAGAAAACATTTACATTAAATCAAATATCATTTGTTTAAAAATGCTAGCTGTATTTGAGTTAACTCTACAACCCCAGAAAGGGTCAAACTCATATGTTTTGTTAACAGACACAAATAACATGATGCTGATGTCTATGAATGAATGTAAACTTTCAACCAGAACTGTGAGCATCTGTTTGGAATATGGTTTGAAGAGATACTGTAGAGGAAACTGCATCATTCTGAGGGCTGTGCAATATTTCACACCATACCTACAGTAATATATTCAAGTATAGGCATGCAGCTCACTCTGTTTTTTTGTTATATTTTTCTGTTATCCTTCTATTTGCTGTTTGCATGTGCATGATGGTTGTGCTGTTGTTTCATTTGGATCCTCAAAATAGGATTTTCTTTTTCCTACAGACTGTGCCAGCCCCTGGGATTCCCTTTCTACAGCCCACTCTGCCCTGCAGGAAGTGACCCTGGAACCCCTTCTGAATCCATTACTTACCTCCCATCCAGCTCCATCCCCAGACTCTCCTCATCGCCTCCATCTAGAGGCCAAAGTGTGCATGGCAGAAAAAGCTCCACTGCTGACAGACCACAGCTCCATCAGAAGGGCAATAGGTGGCAGGTCCACTGAGCAGAAGTGTGTCAACATGGGGCAGGGAGCCCTTCAGGGGTCTGGAGAGGTGAACCGTGCACATGGAGATAAGCCGCCGCGGGCTTTGTCTCACAAAGCTGTGGTGGGAAGGTCTATTGAGAGGCAGGAGAGCTGCTCGCCTTGTAGTGAGAGGAAGGGCAGACAAACACATGCAGCAGGCATCGTTTCACCTTGGGACCCATATGTCACAGTGAATCTGAACGGAGCCTCTCTGGGAGGAGGAGACGGACCTGTCAGCCTCCAGGAAAGGCTGATGTCCAGGAATCTGCCTCCCAGAGAAGACGAGAATGCCAGTGGCCTCAGTAGGGTTTGCTGCCCTTCTAAAACCATCGAAGGTCCTCCAGCCAGGAGCGCAGCCGCCTCCCCGGGGCCCTGGAAAATCCCTGGGCCTGACAAGCTGCCTGGCACCCTGAGGTCCTGCACCTCCACGGTGAGCAGGTAGAATGGATCCTCACAGTGTTTCGCTCCGTATTCAGTTTCCTTCACCAGGAATCCATACTCCTCTAACCTCACCATCCTGATTTCCTCCCCACCTCTTTATGAAGTCTGTTTATACATGTATTTTTATTCAAACAAGAAGATTATTACACCCACTACCTTAAGGACTGAAGAAACTTTAAAACCTGATGGAGGACACTTACACCTAATCAAATCACATATTGAAGTGATGAGCCTCATACCTTTACCAACTCAACTGAAGGTATACAGCAGGGAAAGCTAGTAGTGAACACATTGGCATTTTAATTTAGTAAGCATATTTCTCATTCAAACCAGATAAGCTTAACAATAAATATAAAAGAATCAACAGAGAGGAATATATAAGTTGTATGTAAAAAAGTGAAATGCACAGGAAATAAGTCTGATCATGGTTCTTAAAATTGTGTTAATGACATCTTGAGAACATAACTTATTACTAGGCCTCTTTTATGCTCTGCTCTTCAGTTCTTTCCATACATTTTCAGTTGCCTTCAAATCAGATGACTGACTGGGCCTTTATAGGACCTTTATTTCTTTTATATTAGCTTACAGTTTCCTTTGACAAGTCTGCAATCAGTGTTTGATCCATGAATTTCCTGCTATGTTTAAGTAGTCATCCTTCCCTCAGTTATATAAAGGCGTGCAAGTGTCACATGCTATGATGTTTCTACCTCCAAACTTCAATTTAACTTGCTATAATGCAAATTGGGACGACATGCAAACAGAAGATCAGGCTGTTTCCCACCAGTATTTAGTTTGCTAATTTAGATGTTGTGTAGCAAGCTTTTATTAATTAGCTTAGTATTCTGCATGCAACTTTCCTAAGATCATTGACATTAAGGACAATAATCCTCTCATAAAAACAAGGTATTTTCTAAGCTCTCTTTGAATTCTTTTTGATTTTGCACAATCTTACTGATAATTCCTTTTTCCATTTCCGATTCAATACTGATATTTGAGCTTTGAGTATTGACTGGTGCTGCTATAGAACCGATACAATATCAGCAGGAATTAACATACTTTTGTTGCTTATTTTGTTGGGTGAAATGTTAGAAGAAACTTAAGTTAATTAATTCAAATGGAGAACACTAGTCAACAACAGGCATAAGAACAACTAACCCATTTAAATTGAACCAAAGGGTAATTAAGCCATAAACAGAAGTGGAGTGTTTCTATCGAACTCCTTATTTCAGAGATTTGAGATGAAGGCTGAAATATACATTCCAATTGTGAGGTTTTTGGCTGAAATCAAACTGATTTCCAATATACAGAGGGGGCATGCCTAGAAATTAGGTTCTTTTATTTTGAAAATTGCTTCAATGATACGAACTGGAACAATCAGAAGTACCGTTTGTAATTAATGCTGTCAGATAACTTTTGCAGCAATAAGTTTGTAAAAGTGCAGAAAGATCTTTGCAGATGCTTTTGTGCTGTACCTTTTTAACAAAGAACTATAGTCTAGACTATGTTAGGACTAACCCAGCTTATACCAGCTTATACCTTGTATGGGAGCAGCGTCTATTTAAAAAAAAAAAAAACTGACAGATTAAACCCCTTTTTTTCCTTATCTCCCCACCTTATTACACATATTCTACTCTATGCACTAATTAGTGTGATGGTACTTACACATAATTGGATTGTTGCAGGAATATCATATATATATATATATATATATATTTTTTTTTTAAGTGTTATTTTTGTCAGTGTTCAATATTTACTTTCCCTGCTGACCATAAGCCCATCTATTTTTGCTCCATCTCTCTGTGAAGATGAGATTTAAACATTTTTGAGTCATGTAGAAGTAGTGAAGCTGAGGCTCTTGATCCATATGTTACATGCCTACAAATATATACTGTAAATGTAAAGAAGATGTGAAAATTATGTACATTTGGTATACTCAAAAGCAGACCTGTTGGTGTTTTTGAGACAGTGTTGTAGTTAGATTCTTGTACAAAAAAAAAAACAACAACAAACAAACGGTGAGATAAGTATCGTGGGACAGTATTTTAGGAGCACTGTTTCCATGGCCTTGTCCATATCGACATATCAAAGACTGTCACCAAACCGCAGAGGGAGGCGGTGTTTGCGTGCATGGATTTAAGACGTCAGTCTTTCTGAAGAGGAGCTCATCTCTGGAGCTGAATGGGATTCGTGGAAGATGGGATCTTTTTAATCTACCATTTTCAAATAACTGAGAACGTTTGGCTTAGTAAGAACTCCTGCTACTTCTGAGTTGGGGGCCTGATCACACTTCGACCATGCAGTCATTGTGCAGTTATAAAGGTGTGTTGTCATTCAACGCCCGAAAGGAAAACTTCGTCCAGTCTCCTATTTCTATGCCTTTTAACTGTGCTAAGTGTACCACATCACTGTGGGAGAGGGGAGGAGGAGGTCAATGGTTATAAGGTGAGGCAGAGTGCCTTACTCAAAATAATGCAGAGCCGGGATTTGTTTTTGGGGGAACTCTTTGATCACTGCGGAGATCTGGAGCCTATTTTTGCTTCAGACATTAACGCCAACCAGTATCTATCTGGATGCACTCTAATGCTGTAAAGATAGGCCCCGTCAATTATTGCAATTGTCCCCAGAGTGTTGGAGATGGGGAGCAAAATGTAGCCTGTAGCATCACATCCTCTCCTTGAAGTAATGCCCAACTCTTTATCAAGACGTGCTTAACATCAGAGCGGATCACGGTTACCCCAGTCTCATTTTTGTTTGTTCTGTAAGGAGATGTTAAGGTTTGCATTATTGTTGCAGGCCCATGTCAACAAGATTTCAAATGATTCCGCAAACACGTATTTGTTTAATAACCAAATGTTGGGTTCGGCAGAGGTTAAGGCATGCTGCTGTTCAACTGAGTCGCTCAAGGGAGATGTCAGTTTTCTCCCGTGGTTTCCATTCGGATGTCATTTGTTTCTCTTAGCAAGATTATTAGAAATGAACCACTGGAGCTTTTTAGTACCACAGAACAATTTAAACACAGCATGATGGCAAACCCACACTGTATTTGCAGTCTGGTGGAAATGTGCTCTTTGAGAAGCTAACTGCAGTCTGGGGATTATTAGTTGGATTTTGTGCACTAAGGATCGCTGGGACTGATGCTCATCTCACAGTAAAAGCCGGTCTGGATGGTTCCACGCTAACAGAACACTGGGGTTTCTTTTAGTGCACGTTAGCGTGGAGCATGACAAACGTGTCACTTAGGCGGTAGAAAATGTGTTTTCTGTGTGTATTAGAAGAACTCGGAGAACATGTCATCCAGCCCTCTGCATCCATCCAGGCCGTCACCCTCTGCCTGCTGTGACTGGATTCGTACACAAAAGAAAAATAAAACTGCTTATTGAACCTGTGAAGGATGGCACGTTCATACCCCCCCCTCCCATTGAGATCCAGTATAATTGTGTAGTGTTAATTGTGTAATATTCACCTTGTACAGCTGTATTCCTACAAATATGGTTTACTGTATCATTGATACTGTAGTTTCAAAGACGTGAACAACTATTTTTATGAAATGCGACAGTACTGATATATTACATTTTGCTAAAAAACAAAAAACTTGTTTACTGAAAGATATTCTGAAATACTGTCAAATAAACTCTTGACATGGTGTAAAACAGACTTCTTTGGAGACTCTTGCTTAAAGAATCGTCATCAAAATTGTATATCCAAACTGATACATCTGTACCCTATTTTAACCATGTAATTTAAAGGAACTACATCTGATTGTTTTGTCTTGTTAAGAAAAATGCTTTTAAGAACAACATATGAGTTTAAAGAGGTAATTTAATAATTATATTTGATTAGTTGATTGGATGACTTTTCTCTGCTAATGGAACAAGGGGGAACCTGTAAGACAAGGTATGTAAACAGAAAGGTTTGGCTATCGGGGCTCCGAGGAAGGCAGCAATACTTTCACTCGTGGTGGAGAGCTTTGAAGGACCACCTTGGACTAGATTTGGATTCAAGTATGCTGCTATTCTAGATAGAAAAATAACTTTTAAATATATATATATATATACACATTTTTTTTCTTTTATTGTGCTTAACTTTCTGCTTTTATTACTGAGATTTTATCTTTGTCTGTCAGATAGGTGAAGCTGTGGAGGATTATGCACAACATTGAAGCCCCATATAATTAGTCTTGTGAATGTAGGAGAGCAGCAGTGTTTCTATTAAGAGAAAACCAGTTGGAGTAACAGCTTTGCTTCATTTTGTGCAGAATCCGGTATAGTTCCTAAACTTTATCTAATGAACTTTGCTTTTATGCCCAAGCATGAACCCTGAGGTAAATTTTCACCATTCTCACAATTCAAACACAATACAATGTAGAAAGAGTGAATCACAAACCATTAAAACTGTCTTTAAAATTTTACTTCAATGTTTACCCCTGTAAAAAAAAAAAAAAAAAAAAAAAAAAGGTTCTTCAGTGTTATTTAACTAACTACACACGTTCCACCGTCACCTTGTTCCCACTCAGCATGTGATGAGCTAAGGTTTTATGACTGCAGACATGACACTGCAAAGCCTTTGTGGGAAGAGGGGCATAATGAGAAAGTTTGGCACTGCAGACCTGAAAATGACCAACTACACTGCAAAAAAATGTATCTAGAAATAAGTAAACGTTTAATTAATTAAGTGCATTTACCGTTAATTTTAGTATGTAAATAGGATGATCTGCCAATGGAATGGGTATGTTTTTTTTAAAAATAAGATAATTACATAATATGCACTTGAAATAAGACATTGCAATTGTTTTTCATGTTTTAAATGTAAATCATCTTGTTCTATTGGCTAAGTGTCTCACTCACCTCCTTAATTCAAGAAAAAATGCACTTATTTTAAGAAAAAACAACTTATTGAGATTCTGTTTTTTTACAGAAAAAGGGCACGTTCGATCTCCAATGGTATTTCACAAATAATCCATCAATAAATAAATCCTTGCAACATTAGGCTACACAATCAACCAACATAGAGTATTGTTGTAGTTTGAAAGTCAATTTCCATTCACACATTATCTAATATAACACAACTCCTTTCCTATAATAATACCCCTTAAAAAGGCACGCCACATCCATACAGGTGTTTAAACATAAAAACTTCCCTAAGCTCAGAAAAATGTTTCAACTTATGTAAAATAGTTTCATTGTTCTTTAAAAAAACAAATTAGTAAAAAGCTAAACAAGAACTGGGCCAATATGCTTTGTCTATTGCAAACCTTCAGTTTTCTTTATATTTATTGGAGATAATAATTAGCAAGTGCATGACTGACTGAATTCGATTTTGGTACGCTAACGGTAAAAAGAAAGTTCCAGCAAAAAGGGAAATTACAAAAAGGTCCAAGTTTCAAACAAATGTAAACCCAGCACATTATTGTCGCTCCTGGCTCAGAGGGAGAGCTTTCCTGTCATTGCTCAGTGTAACTTTCTGTAGGACCGAAAATTTGACCGTCTCCTTGTCCGTTCAGAGGAGCCTTCAGATGGGGGAGGAGACAAAACATTCAGAAAGTAAATAAAGGATTAATAACCAGGAGGGAGTTTCAAAAAAGACATAAGAAAGTCACGTCTTACATGTGTACGTCTGTAGATCCCCATTTGGAAACGACAGCAAACCACATCAACCAGGTATCCCACAATTCCATGGATCATGCCTGCAGGAAGGACAGATTCAACTTAAACTCTGGTGTTCATAAAACCAGAGGGATAAAACAGGATCACAGCAGCCTGGTTGTTAAATATGTAAGGCTTTTCTTTTATGTGATGAAGGCCGTTGAGCAGAATGAATTCAAAAACGTATTAATATTAAATGAAGCCAGGTTTTTAACATAATTTATGGAAAAAGGTTGTATACAGTCACAAATCAGTTGAATTATATGATTATCATGTTCCCAAATTCATTACACCTGGAAAGAAAAACTTCACCATCCTTGCCTTTTTTTCTTTTAGCCATTTGTATGATTAAAATTCTTACATACTGTTTTAACTGGTAAAAGAAAATCAAAATGAAGAGTTTATTAAAGTCTTTAAAAACACATGTAGGATAAACATAATTCTCCAAAACTGAGAGTTCATTACAAACTCCAATACTGTTAATTGCTAACTTCAAATAAAAACAGAATAGAACTATTTATAAGATTTTTATTTACAACTGAAATGCTGAATTAAATTGAAGATGTGATGGACTACCAGACGGTGGTGGATAAATCTTCCATTTAATAAAACATCAAATTCATTATTGCAACTAATAAAAATGTTAGCTTTTCTCTAGGGCAAGTATTGAATGTAGAATGGGCTTAAAAATTTAATTTTTGGACCATATTATAGAAAAGAGCAGAAGACTCAAATGTTTCATCACTTACAAATCTTAAGGTTTCAGCTATAAATCTACATTAAGTATTGTAAATTGTAAGAATTAGTTTCCTTTAAAGCATATACCATATGTGCTTATTTATATGGAACTTAAAAAAAACACACTTGCTGACCATACGTGCTGCACAACAAAAAAGGAAAGATGAAAACTATTATAATACAACAAAATAAAAAAAATAAAAAAATATGACATTTTCTTATTTAGATACTTCAGAGAGCTAAAAAAAAAAAAAAAAAAAAAAAAGAAATCTCTTTTTTTTTTTGGCTTATCAGT